AGATTAGTGAAAGACTTAGGCAAATATAAAACTATAATAATACGAAATTCACATATGTCTCTACCCAGAAACCGGTGTCACAACATTCACGAACTAACCATGATTACTACATACAAATGTTTGAAAGAAAGAAACACCGTCTGTCTCGGATACAAGTGATACAAAACATAATAAAAGATAGAGGAGACGCCGGGGCCTGCGGACGCCTACAGGACTACCTCGGAGTCTCGGTGGACTGAAGGCTGGCTCCCCTACTGCTGCTAACCAAGCACTACTCCGGTATTTGCATAGAGTGCAGAGTGTAGTATCAACACAACCGACCCCATGTGCTGGTAAGTGCATGGCCTAACCCCGGCGAGGTAGTGACGAGGCTAGGACCAGACTCCAGATAAACCTGTGCAGTTATATAATATACAGTGAAAAAATAAACAGGAAATAAGCAGTTTAAAAGGAGGGGGAAACATGCTTCGGGGAACATATCGAATTTAGCAAAAACTAAATAGAAATCTGAAAGGACAGTACAATATTTACAACAATACAGTAACACTACTGCTGCGGCGCGCAACCCAATCCCTTATCATTTAACACTGTTGCGGCGTGCAACCCGATCCATATATATATAACTGTTGCGGCGTGCAACCCGACCCACATATATATAACTGTTGCGGCGTGCAATCCGATCCACGTATATAACTGTTACGGCGTGCAACTCGATCCACATATATAACTGTTGCGACGTGCAACCCAATCCACATATATAATTGTTGCGGCATGCAACCCGATCCACATATATAACTGTTGCGGCGTGCACCCCGATCCAATATAATATAATAATAATATTGCGGCGAGCAACCCGTTCCAAATATACAGTCAACAATAATCATAATAACCGTCCCGACAAGGGATCAGCAATAAATTACACTATCCCGACAAGGGAACTCAACAGTACAAGTATATACGCCCCGGTAAGGGAGAATCAGCTATAACCAATCTTAACTCAACTCCTACTCATCTCAGTTATCACCATTACTCAATCATAAGTAAATTCCACGAAAATAACTAAGTCTTTGCTCAATGTCAAGAATTCATCCACTAAAACATCTGTAGTAGCATTTAAGAATACATCAAGTATCAATTTAAGACTCACGGACATGCTCGACACCAACGTATAGATACGTGGCACCATGCCTATACGTCGTACTCAACAAGAAGCAATTAGCAAATAGGACTCAACTCCTAATCCTTCAAGCTAAGGGTAGACCGGACACTTACCTCGATGTCTCGAGCACAACTCAAGTTTCAATTATACCTTTACTCCTCGATTCCACCTCCAATTCGCTCGTATCTAGTCACAAATTACTTAATTACATCAATAAACGCTAAATAAATCAATTTGAATGCATGAAAATGAGTTTTCTAAAGTTTTACCTAAAAAGTCAAAAATCGCTCTCGCGCCCACATGGTCAAAACCCGAGGTTCGAACCAAAACCCGATTATCCATTCCCCCACGAACCCAAATATATGATTTGTTTTGAAATCGGGCCTCAAATCGAAGTCCAAATCCCCATTTTTTTAAAAAACCTAGGTTCTACCCAAAACACCCAATTTTCCCCATAAAAATCATTGATTTGAAGTTGAAATCATGTTAAAAGATGTTAATGATTGAAGAAAACTAGTTAAAAACTACTTACAATTGATTTGGAGGAGAAATGTTGTTTGAAAAATCGCCTCTTATGTTTTTGGGGTTTTGAAAAATGAATAATGACTGAAAATCCCGTCTATTTATACCCTTCTCAGACCTCATGTGCGGACTGCAACCGCACAGCCCTCCACCGCGCACTGCACAAGGCCGACCGCGGACCGCACTGGCCCCTTCCGCGGTCGCACACGTTTTCGTGCGGACCACACTGGCGGGTTCAGAGATATGGAAATTTTCTGAACCTGCAACAACTGTGTTTTTAGGCCTAAGGCATCCCGGAACCTACCCGAAACTCACCCGAGCCCTCGGGGCTCCAAACCAAATATACAAAAAATCCTCAAAGACATCGTATGACCTACTCGTGTGATCACCTCATCAAAATAACCTGTAAATTCATGAATTAAACCTCGAAACTCAACATATTCATCAAGAACTCTCATCGTTCATAACTCTCCAACCGGAAGTCCAACTCACGCCAAATAAACTCCATTTTTCACCAAATTTCACAGTTATATTTCAAATATCATAACAAGTTTGTACCAGGCTCCGGAACCAAAATACGGACACGATACCATCATGTTCTAATCAAATTTCATTTCAAATTTCCTTAAACAATTTCAGAAAACAATTTCCTTTAAAAATTCATTTCTCGGGCTTGGGACCTCGGAATTCGATTCTGGGCATACGCCCAAGTCCCGTATTTTCTTACGGACCCTTCGGGACTATCAAATTATGGGTCCGGGTCCATTTACCCAAAACGTTGACTGAAGTCAAATTAACTCATTTTATAGCCAAATTTTATTATTTTTTCACAGATTTTCATATTTAAGCTTTTCGGCTACGCGTCTGGACTGCGCACGCAAATTGAGGTGATGATAAATGAGGCTTTCAAGACCTCGAAAGCATAAAATTTCATTTTAAAAAAAAGTGATGACCTTTTGGGTCATCATACAGGATTTGAAGGTTGCGGGTACCACTATATGTATATAATATAGACGCACACACCTACCACTAGCCGAAAAGACAGAATATGAAGAATGGATGATTCAGTTAAGTTTTGGTTAATCCAGTTAGGTATTTTATTTAAAAGAGGAAAATAAGTTCAATTTTAGTTCAACTTTTTTATGCTCGATTTACTAATTTCTAGATAAAAGTACAAAAAAAATATTTCATGAAAGTACACCTGCAATTAGAAAATTTTCTTAAAGAGTAGCTTAATTACTATATAATTTTTGTTTGATTTTATTAATGATAATTATTCTTGGGTTAATTTTTCCAATTTAATTGTTGCGTTATATGATAATTATTTCCAAAGCCAAAATTTTAAAGTTATCAATCTATGAGAATCAACTTAAAACCTCTATTAATCAAGATATTTTTTTTAAAAGCCAACAAATGATACTGCTCAAATTATACTCTCCAATATAAAAATTTATGTTGTATCACTAGAAAGAGAGAAACTAAATATTACTTAGAATTTTAAAATTATGCATTGATAGAAATTGCTTACAAAATAAGATATAATTGTAGGATGCAAAATGAAGGCTAATATAAAGAAATTTAAAAAGAGAAAGAAGATAGAGGGATTTGGTAGCAAATAACAGGAAGAAAAAATAGGGAGGAAAAGGAGGAAGAAGAAATGAGGACCCAAGGCCCAATAGAGAACAAAGAAAATCTAGGGCTAATATGTAGGAAAAAGAATTTAAAACAAAAGAAAGGGTAAAAACGTTGCTGCAAGGAATTGAACCCGGATTCGTGCGGTACATTAGAGACTTCATCACATCGTCTGAACCATGGCACCCACATCCCATTTGTGTAAACTAGGTGCCACTTTATATATATAACTCATTTTTCAAGATATCAACAACAACAACAACAACAACAACCCAGTATAATCCCACTTAGTGGGGTCTGGGGAGGGTAGTGTGTACGCAGACCTTACCCCTACCCTAGGGTAAAGAGACTGTTTCCAAATAGACCCCCGACATCCTTTCCTCCAAGAACTTCCCACCTTGCTCTTGGGGAGACTCGAACTCACAACCTCTCGGTTGGAAGTGGGGGTTGCTTACCATCAGAGCAACCCCTCTTGTCTTCGTAGATATCAACATAGTTATTAAGAATTTTTGCCGAGGCGTGTGGGCGGCGTGCCACCCCAACCTGACAAGGTAGATACGCCCCAGCAAACATCCTAAACATTGGACTATATTTATCACAATGTATTTTTTTGCACGAACAATTGTATGTTGCACTTTCAAGAGGGATATCAAGATCGACAACAAGGGTTCTGGTTAAGGCAGAGCAACCAAAGCATTAGGAAGAAATATACACAAAAAAATATTGTCAACAAAGAAATGTTCATTAAGATACCATCGCATTAAATACTTTTAAACTATAATACATAATTATCTTACTAACATGACAAAATGGATCATTTCTATAAGTTTTGATGATGTCCTTTTATTTTAAATTCATGTAAAATCCTTTATCTCCCTCCTTTTCTTCTCTCTTTCTTTCTTGCTTTCCTCCTCCTCCTCCTTCTTCTTCTTCTTCTGTTCCTCCTCTTCCTCCTCCTTCTCCTTCTTGTATTATTATACATAAAATTTAGATATTAACGTAATAATATTTTTCGGTATTTAGATGGTTGTTCTATTATTATACATGAAATTTCTCTCATTAATTAAGTTTTATTGTTCCTTCATATAAATAAATGTTTAAATCATTGTGCGTGCCATTATTAACGTGCAATGCACGTTCATAGATATTAGTGAGGAAAAAACGGAAGAAATGATTGATTAAACAAGGGAATGTTTCATAACTAAAAAAGCTTAAAGAAAACATTCGATTCTCCTTAGGAAAGTTTTGATAGGTGGCCTTTTTAATATTAATATTATTTTTACATATTAATCCTTTGCTATGTTTCGAACGTTTTATACATCTTTTAGATTTAGGATTTTTTTTTGAAAAATTTCATATTAAAACAACTGGGCTGCCTCTTTTTCAACTTTATAGCCCATATTTCAATTTATAATTGAATAGCCCAAAAATTAGAGGTCCATATCCGAAAAAGGGCGTTATTTCTGTTTTTGGGGAGTAAGAAGCGGGATTTTCTTTGTTTCAGCTGAATTTTCTCTGATTCTTTCCAATCTTCTTCCCCAAATACTACAAAAACGAGATCTTGCGATCAATGCAGCTCCAAACACCCTAGAATTTCTTTTTCATCTCGAATTTCTTCATTTTTTTTTGCTACAAATCAGCGCAATTCTCATTTTTTGCTGCAATTTTGATTTCAATTTTTTGTTCGATGGAGCTTTTTCCAGTTTACGTTCTTCATAGTGGTGAATGGGAAGAAAATAAGTTTATCAATTTCATCAGCGATTGTGTAATAATCGACTCGACATTCAGCTACAACAATTTAGTTGCAGCTATTTCGGAACAGATTAGGATCGATAGTGAGTTAAACACAATAGAGATTAACTTTCTCCCAAATGATGGTTTGCAACCGATTCTGATATACAATGATACAGGTGTAAAAGTGTAAATCGAATTAAAGAAGAAAAGCTTGAACTTCACTGAATATCCCTTGTTTGTGACAATGAAAGAGATTTATGATAATCGTTTGGTTGCTACAAGTTTCAGTTGTTTGGTTGCTACAAGTTCAAGTTGTTTGGTTGTTACAAGTTCCAATTCTATAGATGTATCCACAATTGATAGCACTAAGATTATGCCTGATATCGAATTGATTGAAAACACGAAACTTAGTGAAAACACAGGTATAATAGATAATATGTTGAACGAATTTGTTGAGGAGGATCAAGTTTATAAAGATAAAGAGACAGTTATGAATGTGATGGAGAACTTAGTTGTACGCGAGAGGTTCCAATTCAAGGTGAAGAGATCTAGTGCAACAATGTATGTCATTAATTGTATATTCTGTTATATATATATATAAATATGTATAAATTAGTATATATTTATATATAGGTATTAAAATTAGTATATATGTAGTTATGTTTTTGTATACAAGTGTATTTAGAAGTTGAATGATCTTTAATCCTAGGTATCACCTTATGTGTGTGGATGACAATTGTGCTTGGAGTTTCAAATCTTCTGCCGTTTTCAAGGCAAACATATTCAAAGTGAGAAGTTACAATAATAATCACACATGCGGCTATGGTGAAAGATACTTAACACAACGTCAAGCTACTTCGGGTGTAATTGCTAGTATAGTCAAGGATAAGTATGTTAATCCAAAAAAAGTTTACACCGCAAATGATATAATAGAGGACATACAAAAGCAACACGGGATTGAAGTGAGCTACATGAAAGCATGGAGAGCTAAAGAGATAGCAATGGCAATGATAAGAGGGAGTCCGAGTGATTCATATAAGGAGTTGCCGAAGTATTTTTATATGTTGGAGCAAACAAATCCAGGAACGGTTACAAAGTTGCACAGATCAGAAGATGGATGCTTTCTTTATGCATATGTTTCGCTATATGCATCTATCAAGGGCTGGGAGCATTGCAGACCGATAATGGTTGTTGATGGAAGTTTCCTTAAAGCAGCATATAAGGGTACCATCTTGACTGCTTGCACACAGGATGGAGCTGGTGAGTTGACTGCATCTACCTTGTTTCTGCAGTTTGTATAATATTGTAGTTTCATGTATAAAAGTGCATAGGATTTCACAACTGTTGTTTTTATAAAATTTACAGTTGGTATAAAGTTGTATAATTGTATATAACTGTGTATAATATTTGTATAATTGTCTGAATCCTAATATCTATTTTATATAAACAGGAAAAATCCTTCCACTTGCATATGCAATTATAGATTCAGAGAATAACAAATCTTGGGAATGGTTCTTTGTCCAGATAAAGGGTACTTTTGGAGTTAGGGAAGGGATATGTATAGTTTCAGATAGAAATGAAAGCATCTTCAATGCCACAAAAGTTATGTACCCAGAAGTACCACATTGTATTTGCATGTTTCACTTGTGGCAGAATGTAAAGCGCACATTCAAGAAACATCACAAACAATTGAAGGATATTTTCTTTGCTTTGGCTAGAGCTTACGCGATAGAGAAGTGTGAGTACTATATGACAGAGATGTGCAAAATTGATCCGAGGGTGCAGCCTTACTTGTTCGAAGTTGGCTACGAAAGGTGGTCTAGGGCATATTCCAAAGTGAAAAGGTCGATGATAATGACTTTCAATATTGCAGAGTCAATTAATGTAGCTAACAAGGATGCTAGAGAGTTACCAGTAATGCGATTGCTAGAGTACATGACAAATTTGCTACAACAGTGGAACAACAAAAACAGAAAAATTGCAATGGAGACATCTACAGAGCTTGGTGAAAAGTATGACAAACTCCTTCGGGAAAATCTGATTGCATCGGAGCAAATAACGGTAAAATCAATCAAATGTAATGATGTTTGACACTGCTGACTTGCATTTTACTGCTTGTATAAGTATGTATAACTCTGTATATTAATGTATAATGTTCTTTAACTTCTTTTTTTTAAAAAAAACTTTTGCAGGTGAGCCCTGCTACGGAGCAGTTATATACTGTGTTTGAAGGGGTAAGGCGAAATATAGTGTGCCTTAAAGAGGGAACATGCAGTTGCGGAAAATTTTAAATGGATGAACTTCCATGTCCGCATGCTTGGGCGGTTTTGAAGAACCAGTATTGCTCTTTTTACTACTGTCACACCTCCTTTTTCCGCGCCCGGGGGGGCGCAGAGGGAGTTTTTTCCAATTAAAGGACAATCGAAATAGGATTTATTTATTTATTTCAGAGTCGCCACTTGGGAGATTTAGGGTGTCCCAAGTCACCAATTTTAATCCCCAATCGAGGAAAATAATGACTCTATATTATAGTCTGCGTACCAGAAATCCGGATAAGGAATTCTGTTAACCCGGGAGAAGGTGTTAGGCATTCCCGAGTTCCGTGGTTCTAGCACGGTCGCTCAACTGTTATATTCGGCTTATTTATCTGATTTTTAATACAAT